CATCCTGAAATTTTCAAAACATCTACTTCCATGCCCATGCAAGATCTCCATTATATATGCTTCCCCGGTTAAAAAGAGAATCCCTACAAGGTCGTCTCTCATAATGTTTCTTATAATAGTCCAACATACATGCCATTATGATGACACAATCATTCTCCTCATCACCATCATCATACAAGTCAATTATTGTCCTAATATCCATCTGTATAAATACAATATTTAATAAACGAGATAAATTACAATCATCTCAAGCAAAATACCAAATAATAAATAAAAAGCAAGACAACAAATAAAATCAAAGTAAGCAAAATAGTTATATTGTCATTACAATGAAACCAAATAACATAAATACGAGTGTACTTAATATTACAATCAACCAAAGTCATAGTAAAACCAAATAAGAAATAAAAGCGACACACTAAAAGTCATAATATGTACTAGTACAGTCATCCAAAGTCATAATAAAATCAACATACCAAGTCAAATCCTATTGATCCAACCAACCCTCTTATCATCAGAAAGGTTATTAAGAAAAAAATCCCTCCAAACTTCATCATTACGTAACATCTGGGTGACCTTAGCATATTATTTCATATCAACGCCCTCCAACTTATTCAAAATATAACAACATAATTTAAAATCACCTTTTGTCTTATCCGGAAAATTGACTTCAACTTGCCCAGCTTCATGAACTGTTTTCATATTAGATAATGAAGAAGCGACTATGACCCTTTCAATTCGATCTGTTTTCTCTTTATAAATGTCACTCATTTTCTCCATAACACGATCCATTGTGGAGGCAAAACTCTATCTCTTTGGTTTTTTACCACGAGGTTCAGGAAAAGGAGTGAACTCATGATGGCCTAACTCAACAAAATCATCATTAAGGTCAAACGAGGTATGTGTGCCTTCATGGTGTGCGGGGGGCTTGGTTGAGAATGGGTGGACTGTAAGAAGTATGGACATGTGCACCTGTAGCGTGTGTGCTTCTAAATATGGTGGTGAGCTTGTCAAAATAATTGCATGGCTTCTTTTGATACTTACCATATTGGGCATTCACTTACAAATTATTAAATTACTATTAATATTAAGTTAAGTATAATTTTTTGTAAAATCAACATACATTTATTTGAATAACTAACATCGATCAATCTAGTCCATCTTTCATTTTCAACTATAGCCATGCCCGTCTCAGCATTGTATCCCATGCCTATTTCTCCTAACAAACTCACAAAGGCTTTGTAGTCTACCCTCATGTGGTTGAATTTGCTCTTAAGTTGTTTCGGTACATAGTTCTTGTCTGTACGGACCATCATGCCTTTTCGTATATTCTTCCAACCATTTGGACTAAAATTTGTGTTATTCCGATTACCAGCCTTCACTTCTTCCTCCATACAGATGATGAAAGCTTCAATATGAGAATCATCCCATACTAGTTTTCCATCATCGGTATTGTCTGTAAGGTCCTCTATTTCTTCTCCCACCACATTGTCGGCATTGATATCCATCTAATTACATAGTTTTAAAAAAAATATGTTAAAAGGGTCATTAACAACTGTAATCTTTTATTAAGAAAGTACGAATACATTTACTAAGTTGTCATAATAATATGACTTATCATGAGTTCTACAACTTCAGTCCAAGAAGAAGTTTAATTTAACCATAATTGAATAAGTATTGATAATGGCATTATTCAATGGTCTTGTTGATGTACTTTATATTATAATACCATGAGGATGTTTTTAGCATTAACACTTATAAATTTTCAATTGTGTGGGCAATGAATACCCCATCTATTTTAATTTTGTATTATATATATAGTGAGAGAGAGAGAGAGAAATAAGAATAATAAGATTTTTGTCACTAAATTTTATCTTTTATTTTCAGTTTTATTTTGTCCAACTGTTTGCGTATAATAAGTAAATGCTTTTGGATCATTCATACAAATATCTAATGGAAATGTGAATTATGTGACCAAGAAGTTGACACACCTCTAAACTACTTTGTGCCAATGCAAAAAGAGGGAAACAAAAATTGTCCTTGTGTGTGTATGCAAGAAACAAACTCCAATATACCATATAAAAAATTCCACTATGTTTAATAACTGCTTCCATGTTTAGTTTCTTACAACTGTAATCTCCACTATGTTCGCTAAATCCTATTTCACTAGTGTTCCAAATCAAGAGTCACTTGAAAACCCTTATACTTATGCGGCTTAATTTCAACACGAAAACCAGCAAATCAACAATGGTATCTTGTAGACAAAGTTTCTGTGTACAACTAGGGGGAAATGGTGGAGGAAAAAAAACAAAAAGGCATAAACTGTCATATATATATAAATATTGGATTTTACAATGTACACAACAAGTGAGATGGGTTCATTTATTTCGTACAACAATTAGTCTATCTCATTTTTTGAGTCCTTCAGTAAGAATAAGATAAACTAGACAGCAATAAAAATTATAGCTACAACAATTAAGTACACAGTTAGGTTAAGGGAAACACACAAACATGGAAATTCGACCAAAGCCAAAAAACATATATCCATATACAAAAGAGAGAATCAACCAAAATCAAGCATCATTTTGAGTCTCTATAATCTATGTATCCATATATATACATATGTGCGCCAGTGTGTGTGTATATACACACAAATATAAATATACGCTCACACACATAACCAGAAATGCCAAGTGAGATTTGGTGAATTTCTAACTTCTAAAGATTTTTTAAGAACTCCAAAATGCCGAGAAACTCACTTGGTGTCGACGATGAACGTAATAGACTGAGAATTGCGTGTGAATCTGAGAGTGCAGAGAGCAGCGGCGAAGCTTGGGTTCGCCGGAAAAAGCAGAGCAGAGGTGAGACAGAGGGTTCCTTTCTTCAGATCTGCATACACAGCTCAGCGATTTGAAGCCCGATCTTCAAACAACAATACCAATTTTATACAGAGCACAACGAATTCTGATGAAGAAAAAGCAGAGGAACTCATCGGTGAGAAGGAGACGACTCTCGGAAAGCTTCAACCCCGGTACATTGTGAATCGCCTCTGTGAGTCGTCTAGAGAGAACCCTATAAATGTTCCACCGAATATATTTATATGTGTTCTCAGAATGCTCCAAGTTTGGGCTGTTGTTCCAAGCTCTACAGTGAATAGTGGGTCGGCTTTATTTTGGGTACACTTTGGAACACCGATTTTTTGTTCCAGAAATTGGCCTATTCTATGAAATTGTTCTTGCACTGTTGGACACAATACAGCCCATGCCAAACAAGTTGGTGTCCTCAATAGTGTCCATTTGCACTGTAGGGAACAACATCGAACAAGATAGAGCATCCCCCAAACAGGCCCTTAATATTTTTTATCCAAACAAGTATGCGTATAGTATATATATTATATATATATATATAGAGAGAGAGAGAGAGAGAGAGAGAGAGAGGATAATTCGGTCCTCTAATTATTTTGATACCTTATTATTAAAATTAATCAAATAATGAAGGGTAAATTAGACTTTTCACATATTTTAAGCTCTGTTTGAATTGCAAATCTTATCAGAGATGTCATTGTCAAAAAATAAGTTAACTTTTATTTATCTATTCTTATTCCAAATTTCATAAATGTAATTGTACTTTATCTTTATTATTATTATCATTATTTTTATCATGTGTATACTGTGTTTGAAATGGTAAACAAAGCGTCGAACTGTTCCGTTCATGACCTTCACAATGACAAGACATGACCTCCGCAATGAGAAGACGGTTGACATTGGTTCTGATTTGGTAAGTTACTCAGTCGGCAGCTGGGAAATATTTATTAATTATCATATTTTTTATTTCTTCTGAAAAATTGTTTATTTGTTTTTGTGATCAAGTGGTATTGGTTTATTGGTGATTGATTGAGGTTTGTCACTTGGAAATTTAGGGCTCTTAGATCGTGCATGATTTGGTATTTTTATTTATTTATAGGATTTTGTTTAAAATTAAATTGAATTACACAATATTTGCAATTAATTTTCTATTGGGAATTTGGAGAGTTATACATAGGAGGATTTGAAGGTTTTTGGACTTTTATATCAAATAAATTGGATATGAGTTATTGAGTTGTGCATGTGCAAGGACATTGATAAAAAGAAAAGAAAAAAAGAAAGAAAATAAAAGAAGCAAGCAGGTAATTTTATTTATTATTTCTTCTTTCTCAAACATTTTTGTTAGATAATGTTTACAGAAAAAAAAAAAAAAATCTTAAATTATATTATCATATTCATATACGAGTATGTAAAGTCTTGAAGCTAGGAAGAAGGAAACTGATGTGTTATATGATATAAAAATGACAAAAATGTCAATAACAATAATAATATTATATATATTAATATTTGTAAGTGTCAATTGTTAAATAAAAATTCTATAATTACTCTTTGTATAAATTATTAAAGTACTTTTATATTTTGTACCTAATAATAACGTTTTATAAAAAATGTGAGGAGTTTTGTTTAGTTAAAATGATACTTTTTATTATTAATCTCTCATTGAGTTAATAACTATATGTCTTTCTCAAAGTGGAATTAATGTACTAATTTCTTTTTTTCTTAAAATATTTGAATTTTTAAAAAATTAAAACAATTGCTTGATAAAAATTAAAATTTTAACAAAGTTTTTTTTTTTTTTTTTACAACTTCAATTGCTGTTTTTTTATTTTTTGAATTATATTTTCCTCAATACATACAATATTGGAAGAAAAAATATATTAGAATTGATTTATAAAATTTTACTTACACAACTTCAGTTTGGCCCCAAACAAAATTATTGTCTCCACCCTGATTATGATGAACTTAAATCCTTAATATTTTTTCACTTTTAAAAAGCAGAGAAGACATTTCTAGTTTTCCCATTTTTTTTTTTTTTTCATTTGAAACTATGTATTTTAGTAATTATACAAAAATTTAAATTATTATTAGAAATATTTAATTTTAATTCATTTATTTATGTGATTTTGATATTGACACGTTAAAAAAAAAAAAAAAAAAAAAAACCACAAATAGGCGCTCTCTCTGCCTTCTGGGTTGTTCGGCAGACAGATGTTCTACTCCTCCGCATTCCAGAAGCTCTACATCATGGCAGCCAAACCCCATCGCTTCCGTCAAAGTACTCTCTCTCTCTTTATATATATACATATTGATGTATCTATCTATCTGAATTTTATGCCATTTTCACTCTCCCAAAACTAGGAGTTTCAAAACCCTAACTTTGTCGCCTCTCTGGTTCTTGTAACTCTTGTCTAAAATGCTTGCCTTTATATCTTGACAATGAAGCTCTTATATTCTTTTTTATTTTGTTTACTCAAAAACAAAAAGTTGCAGATACTACTCTTCAGAGCGCCGCAAAAAGACCCAGATCAGTTTCCACAGACTGTTCCATGAAGGACGCTTTCGCCAAATACGCAGACTACCTCAATGGACTTGTTAGCCTTCTCACCCTTTTCGTTTTCCTGCCCCAATTTGCTCTATAATGCTTCAACACTATGTAGAAAGCTTTGAAATGGGATGGGTTTAATTGGGTTTTTCTCTATAAGTACTCAAATTGGTTTTAGTATTAGGGTTCAAGTGTGTGGCAAAAGGGCCTTCATTCCGCTTAATGCTTGCAAATTGTGATGAATTTCTCAGTTTCTTGACATTTCATTGTTAACATTATTTGCTTATATGAGATTTTGACAATGTCCATTCATAGCTTAGCATATTACCCTTCTTTTTTTTTTTTTTTTTAATAGCTTTTCTGCAGTTAAAATGATTCATTTGGGACTAGTTGGTAGTAATAGAAATTATAGAAGTGTGGGATATGTATTGGTAAATACTCAAATGGTTTTGAATGGGGTTTACTATATATATATATATATATATATATATTGCTAAGTACTAAAATGTGTTTTAGTCTTAGTGTTAAGTGTGTGGGTAAAGGGCCTTAATTCCGTTTACTGCTTGCAAGCTGTTGAATTTCTCAACTTCTTTACATTTCAGTGTTAGCACTATTTGCCTATATGAGATTTTGATAACGTCCATTCATAGCTTAACATATTACATTTGGGCTCTTTGAAGTCACTTTTATTTTTTTTATTTTTATTCTTATATCTTTCCTGCAGTTATAATCATTCATTTGGGACTAGTTAGTAGTAATAGAAGTGTGGGATATGTAATTGTATTCTTGTATCTTTTAATGATTCATTTTTAGTTTTGTTTGATTGTATTCCCTCTTTGGTTGCAAAAGGTTCTAGCCTCTCCTCTCAGGCTGTGAGAGGTCGGGATTTTGTTTTGTTTCTGCCTTCGGATTTGTCTTATACGTTACTTGTTTTTTGGTTTAAAAACTTATCCTAGAAAATGATTCAATCTCTCAGCATCAATAGAGTTCGTTGCACGTGATGAGGAAATAATTTAATTCTATGGGTGATCGATATATCATAATGTTCTTTTTATATTTGTATCTTTTATCTTTTATTTTATTTTTTTGACTTTTTTCGTAGCATGAGCCAATGCCTCATACAAAATAATTCTTGTAATGTCTCTGTGCATTTCTAAGCAAATAATATTAGTGTTCTAAAAGGGTAGTGAGGCTACCATCTAAAAGCCAAACAATTCCCTACTGGATTCGTAGCTTTAAAGAGCTAGAAACACCTAAGGTTATGCATAATTGAATTAAAAGATGTATATATGTGGGATTCTAGTGTGCAATCTTTTTTGGGATATGGAGTTGGTCTTGGGGTAAAAAAGGAAAAAAAGAAAAAAAAAAGAAAAGAAAAAAAGAGAAAGAAAAAAGAAAAAAAGAATTGGTTTTAGGGTTTACTCTCACGGTGAGTGAAATGGAAGGGGCTGAAAATGTTACCATCACTTTATTTGCTCCAAGGAAGTGGATATTTGTGAACATTGAAGATTTCTATTTCATGACTTGGTGATGTTTCTTATTACTTCCAGTTCCTTTTTGGTATTTATATACACCCTAAGTGTCCATTCCAAAAAATTGACAAGTTGGCTACCAATGGTGTTGGTTGAGGTGGTTTGTGTGTCAAGACTCTAGGTTTTTTCTTTCTTTCTACGGAAGTCAAATTTTTGATAATGCCCTTGTTGCTAATAAAAGCATTTATTCCTAAAGGACGACCTTAACCAAAGGGTTGTACATCATCATTTGGAAGTGTGTATGTGAATATGATTTCCATTTTTGTCTGCATTATAGTTTGCACTTTGGTGTTCATTTTAGCAAATGGATCAAGGTGCACATATCATCTTCTTTCTCTTCACTGGTGTGGTCTAAAGAAGGGCCTATGTAATTCAATGTCCTTTCAGGTTCATTATAGTTGAAGCATGCAAAAGGCTTCCGGCTTCGCTATGTAAGCAAGTCACAATTAAGACGAAAAAAAGATTGATTGGGTCCTAAGAGGTCATCATAGCTTGAGCTCAGTTCGGGTTAGTATATACATACGGAGTATTTTTTTTCCTAGTTGCTACTTAGACACCCTCCCTTAAGGAATTATTTGCATCCAAGAGGAGTCAACCTTTAGACCTAATGCTTCATGAGGCACCAGGACCAAGTGACTTACCCACTTGAGCCAACCCCTTGGGGTTGGTTGGTATATACATATACATATAAATATGCATATGGGTCTGTGTTTGTCATGACAGCATTATCCAACCTTCCCTAGTGGCAATTTAGTTGCATGGATTGTAAGATACTGCTAAAAATGGGTAGAGTTGTAGAATTCTATATCTAACTATATTTTGAATAGCTTGCATTCGAACCCCCAACTTGCCTTAGGACAGACTGAGTAGCTGGGGATCATGTTTCAGAAAGCAAACATTGGGTTCTTTTGTATAATTAACAAATGATCATTATGATCCTATGACTAAGACCTATGGTTTTTGAAACCTATCTGGTTAATTAGTGGTGAATTCCTAAAGCTGGTTTCTAAATTGATTTAAGTGATTGGCTTAGTTAAGATGAATAGATTGTTAAGCTAGGAGTTGAGATTTGAAATTAAATTACACTTGGTTTAATTAAGTTTGGCTTTTTGGAATGCTTTAAGTCACTTGAAGGTAGAGTGTTGATGTTGGTTTATTGATTGGTTAAATGATTAATCATGATGTGTTTGAAACCTATCTAACCTACATTGAACACTAATAGTTTATTTTAGTAAATAAATACAAACTTAGACATACAACAAAAACTAACTAAATTATCACACATGTAATTAATATAACTTTGGGACTACTGAACTAACTATGTTGACTGGTTTGGCTAGACCAGTTTATTGATCCAATAGTAAAAGTTGACCGAGGCACATGTCCTTTGAGTGATTAAATTCTCTAGACAAACTTAGTCGATTGGTCCCAAGGGATTAGTTGACTAACTTCAGTAATGGCTATTCTTTGGTTTGTACGAGACAACTGACACTATGTCATGAGTCGACTGAACAATGAAAGCTTCAGCTAGAGATGCCACTAGAATGTTTGAGTCGACTGGTGCTCACAGAGCGGTCACCTGAATTGGCTTGATGCAATACATATTTTCCATCTTTTGAGTTCAATCAAGGCTCAATTCCATTCCATCTCTTTTTAGGACTTCATGGATGTATATATAAAAGTTCAAGTCCTAATCTTTTGAGTCTAGGGACCATTTCTGTAGAATGAATCAATTTGATCCAATGCCCTTGGCTTCACTAAATGTCAATAATGAGAATTAAAGGATATTCCAATGTGGAAATCATCTCAACATCATCTAAGGCTTTTTATGATTTAAACAATTAAGTTCAAAGCCTAGTTCAATCATCCTAGACACCAATTCAAATGATATGATTGGAGTACATGGTCCTAGTTTTGTAGCTTAAGACTTGAGTTCTTCCAAAGCTTGAACTAACTCAACCTTAGCAAAGGCCTCATACACTAATTTTGTCTCAATGAGGTTCATGGCCTATTGCTAATGGAATAAGGAATTGTGAATAATATGCATGGTCGTAAGTCGAGAGTTGAGCTTTCAAGTGAGTTACTTTAGAATAACTTTATATTAAATTCTAGTCACTCACCCAAGACTATTTACCCAAATTTTTATCTTCAGTGGTGTCATTTGGGTTGATGTCCTCGTCTTGACTTTTGATGCCTCTTCGTATTGTAGAAGTCTCTGTCTTGACTTCAACGTCTTTTGATCTTTAGCATATTATCATGATCCTTTTTGGTCTTTGCCGTTGATCCTTGAGCTTAACTTGAGTTTTCTTATATATTTAACCTATTTAACATAAACTCAAGTAGACACCAAGGTGCTGTTTGATAACTTAATTTAACGCTTAATTCTGAATGTATTAAGCGCATATCCAATTAAGTGCGTTTGATAATGCAATTTAAATATCACTGAAAATGGTAAGCACCACTTAAAATGACAGGGACATCACTTATCACTGAATGTTGTACACTGAAAATTCAAAACGATATTAAAAAATATATATATTTTAATTACCACTTAAAAACTTCAGCACTTAAAATTAGCTCTTAAAATTTTTAGTACTTAATTTTCAGTTTTATCAAACAACACCTAAATCTAACACCTTTAATGATTTGTTATCATCAGATTATCTTAATTACCGTTGGTTTGAAACGTTTAGATCAATAGTTTCCATTGGTTGTTCATTTCACGCAACCTTTTTTCTATTATCCCGTGTAAGATAATTTTTACATATCAAAATACAAGCACAGATTCGTTATATAACATTAGTCAAGACTAGGAGCATCCTAAACCTAAAGGCATGCTATCTTATTGATCGTGCAACATGTTGCATACAAGGTGTAATTTTAGGTATGTCCTCCCTTCCTCCCTCCCTCCCACCTAATGAACATTAATACTAAAAGGGATTTTGTTATAGTTACTGTTTTAGTTGCTCATTGTGCTACACTATCCATTTGTCTTGTCAACATCCAACTAAATGGCGATGGGAAAAGGGTGGGCTTGCCATTAGCAACACTCAACCTGACCCTTTTTTGTTTCATAGCCTTGACTGGTTTCTCATGGTTGGCCAATCCTCGACTTTGAGTAAATTATCTCATTCCTCCCCTGATTTACCCTTTGTTTGGTGCAGATGATTTAATTTGGGCCTATAATACCAAGCTTTACCAATAAAAGCAAGTTAAACTTTGGGACCTAATTTTAACATTCACCAAAGCCTACACTATATAGTAAACAAATTATCTTTCCAACAATTTTGTTCATCCATTTCTAAAGGTTCATCCCTTCTTCCCAAGAAATAAAGTAGAGGAAAACCTCAAATAGTAAAATTGCGTTCCAAATCTTATGATCGAGAGAAGCTTATAACTTAGAACATGACAATGGAAAGAATACTAGGAAGGCATACCATATTTAGAGAGATTGTGATTCTAGACACTAGGAAGACATACCATATTTAGAGACATTGTGATTCTAGAAGAGGGAGTTTGTAAAGTGTAACAATGATAGACCGCATGGTATATAGTTGATGGAGAGACTGTTAGATGGGTGTGGGAAACATTAAGAGTAAATCAGAAATCCTAAAGAAGTGTTATCAGGATAATTTAATGCTCCATTTTGTACGAAGGATGGAAAAGTAGATGGAAGGGAGGGTAGGAAGGATGGATGTGGTATATCCATAGAGATGGGGAGGTGTCCTTCCCTCTTTTTGTTTGGTTGAGGGAAGAGAAGAAAGAGTTGATACCTTCCCTTGTCAGGTAAGAAGGAAGGGAAGGACATATTTTGTATTTTTCTTGCCATTGTATCCTCGTTACCTAAAATATACAAGTAAACATCAAAATTCAAAATCATGCAAAAATTGAAGGGTACTAATGTCACTTTACAATATACAGAATAGTGATCATTCTCTTCCCTCTCTCTTTCGTCCAATTTTGAAGGAATGAAAATTGGTGGGCAGGAGGGAATAGGGATGGCTCATCCATCCATCCTTCCCTCCCTTAACTTCCCTTCTACCAAATAATGGAGACTTGTTTCATCCTTCGTCTCTTCCTTCCCTGCTACCAAACAAATCATAAAATTACGCAGTGGCAATTAAACAAAATCGGTTCAAATGGGGTGGGTAGGACTGGTCCACTAATCTGGACTTTACCTAAATTGGGTCTGGGTAAGTATTTTTCTCCCTGAACCTGCCTTACTCTTTGATTAAGTACGTTAATCTGTACCAATTGGGGTTTGGTGGGCAAGTTACTAGGGAATTAAGTATATTGTGATTCCTTAAACTAAGATGGAGTTGAAAGGGCAGTAAGACATCCATAATGCCGATGGCTGTAGTGAGCAATGACATATATGAATTCTTTCTATGTGGAATGGGATTTTTGAAAATGATATGTAAGCCACTTGTGCTATTGAGTTTGGTTTGATTGGTATTTATAAAACTGTTGCGCCAAGGGGGTTCACTACTCTTTGAAAATTTGCTTAAAACACACAAACTTTTATGATGCTTAAGATATAGTTGATTGTTCAAAAGCATGCTTAGCTGCCTTCATGTTATTTAGGTTTTGTCAAAATGTCCTGAACTTTAAGCTTCTACCTTATGATGAACCTGGTAATAAATTCATTTGACATCGGTTTTCCAAACGGCATTCTATTTGACCATCATGCTAATTTTAATCTTGTAAATGCGGCAAAATACTTTTTATCATTAGAAATCTAAATGTGGTGCTACTGTCAATCTGAGGTATGCATCCTGATATCTAATGACCATTCATATTTCCATGGTAAGACATGGGTTGTCACATCATCCATGTATGTTGATTGTAGCAAGGGAAGGAGGGCCTGTTGAGTGGTCCTTGTCATCCAGCATTATCAGTCCTCAACAGTCTATATGTGTGGATAAATTATACTATTGTATGTGATTTGAGCAAACAAATGTAATATACTTTACTGGTCTTTTTTAAATATTGGTTGCCGTTGGACTGAGTGCAAGATGTTTAGAAACAATTCTTGTTGTCGAGTAATAATATCCTGGACTTTTTTGAATATTTGTAGCACATTGTTGAATTAATGTCTTTAATGTTATTTATTTTCCTAGATTTATTTATTTATCAACCTCTTTATGTTGTAGAATGACAAACGAGAAAGGGTGGTAAAAGCAAGTCGAGATATCACCATTAATAGCAAAAAGGTCATATTTCAGGTGCACAGGTGACAATATATTTCTCCTGGCCTAAAAATATTCCATGAATTTTTGTATTACATCTTGCCTGTTTAGTGATAGATGCTTTAAATCTCCTGTAATGTCTTCCACATAATTGATAATGTAGCTGTAGAACTTTTTTATTGGGTAGATCATGATCTTTACTTCTGCTTTAAATGCAATGTCCAAGGAATCAATAGAACCGCTTCTCTACTTCTAAAATGTTGCAGATGTCTGACATTTCTTTTATTATTAAGTTCATAATTAAAATGAATGTTAAATTTTTTTGTTATTTATTTATACCGTCTGCTCTGCATGTGTTTCTGGCACTCTCTGGTGTGGTGTTATTACATATAGAAATCAGTTATAACCTATCCTGCCTTTGGCTTTATCTAACTTTGAGGACTTGGTACGTCATTATCTTGCTCTGACATGGACCGTAAGTGTTTGCTAGTGCATTTTTGTTGCAATTTATTATTATTATTATTATTATTACTTTTTATTTTTTTATTTTTTTATATTTTCCATTAACAGGATCAGTAAGGACAACAGAGAGGAAGTTCTGGAGAAGGCGGAAAAGGATCTAGCAGCTGTGACAGATCAGTATATATCCCGGCTGGTAAAAGAACTGCAAGGGACTGATTTCTGGAAGCTAAGACGAGCATACTCTCCTGGGGTAGCATCTTCTTGCCCTTTTTACCTGCTAAGGCTAGAAATGGACTGTTCCAATTGACTTATATTGCTTGAACATTACAGGTACAAGAATATGTTGAAGCTGCAACACTATTTAAATTCTGCAAAACTGGGACTCTTTTGAATCTTGATGAGATTAATGCCACTTTATTACCGCTAAGTGATCCATCAATTGAGCCTTTGCAGATTAATGTCCTCGACTATCTGCTAGGGGTAATTGCCTTAAATCTTATTTCATTTGATTTTTTAATTTTTAAAATGGAGCCAGAGCAAGTGGTAATTCAACTCAAAAAAGCCTTTTCCGAATTATTTGGGTTAGCTGTATTAATCCTGTTTGGCTATTCCATCTATGGAAGGCCATATTCTCAAATCTTATGCTATCATATCTTTCCTATCTATTTCAACACATCTTAGTTTTAGTCTTCTCGTGTCACTTTTCCTAACTGTTGCAGTCCGTTGTTGGACAGTGTATTTGCGGATGAAAGGTATAGATTTCTATGTGACGATGAAAATAGTTAAATCGACACAACATTATGTCATTCTAGTTTTCTGATTGATTTAATATATGTGATAAATAGTCAAAGACTTAACACATCAAAATGTAACACGATGAATCTTATGTTAAATTTAATGTGTGTGTGTGTGTGTGTTGGTAATGGACTTAAGTGTTCTGCTTTAGCTCGCGGACTTGACAGGTGAGTTGATGAGATTGGCGATTGGTCGAATATCAGATGGCGAACTTGAATTTGCTGAGAAGATATGCAGATTTGTACGTAATATCCACAGGGAGTTGACCCTTCTAGCACCGAATATGGATGACAGTTCTGAGATGAAGACAAAGATGGATACGATGCTACAAAGTGTAGTTAAAATAGAAAATGGTATGGTATTGATGGTTTTCCTTCTGAGATGTTGCAAACTAGTACTATTATTTCTTGTATATATTAAACCATGCCTCCATACTAAAAACAACTGGTCAAATGACTAAAAAGATTTGCAGATACAACCCTTGGCAATTGGCTAAATCGCTTATATAATCCACTTTGACTTGTATGCTTCCATTTCATCATATTTTCTCTCAATGGCGAACAGATATTATTTTTACATTTTTTTTTTTTTTTGATAAGTAAAAATATATTAGAAAAGCGTTCAAAAGGGGAACGCGTCCCTAATACAAGGAGAAAAAAGATCTAAGGATCAATAGAATCCAAGAGATCAAAGAAATCATCAATAGAGGAGCATGCATTTCCTCTTACATAGTAGAACAAAGAACGAAGAATATGAATTTTTAAAGTAGCTAAAGACGATTCTTTTCCTTCAAAGGATCTGTTATTTCTCTCGCGCCACAAACACCACCAGACACAATTTGGAATAATCCTCCAATATTCACGAGCTTGTTCTTTAACAGGACACCTTCTCCAAGCGTTAATCAATTGTGAGGAGTGCTTAGGCGTTACCCAACAACCGCCAATGGCGAACAGATATTATGACAATACCATTGTACAATTTGTTTTTACTTTAAACCCTTTATCTCCAATTGATAATGACGATAATGCCATTATGTATACTCTTTTAACTCATCTAATATAACCCATAGTATATGTTAATGTTGTGTCCTGAGTTTTGTACGCGACCCTGTTCTGACCCAAAAAAATGGAAATTTTTTTGACCGTTTTTCACTTGCTGGTCTTGGATCCTGTTTAGGACTCCCTTGTAGTCCAATATATAAATGCATTTAGATTTTGGAGTGAGTCACAAGAGAACATTGAACCAGGAAAGAGTGAGAGAGAGAGCTAGGGTTTGGGGGGCTGAAACTTATAATCTCCTGATTTTCGCATAGTGAGATCTTTTGCCAGATCTTCACCGTGGATGAAGGATTTGCCAAACCACGTAAATCTTTCTTAACTGTTTTATTGGTTCATGGTGTTAGTCTTAATTATATATATATTGTCTTTGTTATCAATTTGATAGTAAAGATAAAAGCCCTAATGTGTTTTCTTTCCATTTATAGTCCCTAACGTTAGTTGGTAGTAATCTTAATACCAGTTTATCCTATAAATTCTATGCACTAACTTATCCTTCTTGACCCCATTGTGATTTTATAATAACTATTGTATGATGACTTACTTTTTGTTTCCATTTTTGCCCCTAACATCAATTAATATTTGCAATTTCATTATTGTATATGTATGTATAATAATAATTCTCTATTGTTTATTATAGAAGTGGCATAGGGTGCTCTTCTGTAGGTTCCATTCGTCTAGAGATGTGCTTGCATTTAGCCCCTCAACTTTTATCAATGAAGCTCTTAAGGGGCCATTTCCCAGCAATAGGCCCTACAAGTTCTGGCTGATGGATTCTGTTAACGCCCTCTTTTTTTAGTTAATGATAAAGATAATGCCTTTTTGTGCAGCGACTGCATTTGGTTCTGTTCAGTTGTCCATAATTGCCATCTATAACTGCACTCAATATTTTCTGTGGTATTGTTGTATTCATGGTGATGGTTGTCGAAAATATTCTATATGACTTAGTGGGAGGAGATTTGGCCACTCTGTTGTGAATTTTTTAGCTATTGTATGTTGTTTGGTATGGTCACATCTTCTTTTTAATGGAGTTTTTGTACCTAGAAGATTAGACTTTTTTTTTTTATTAGTATTCTTAAAACAATTAGCAATCGACTAGGCTGTCTACTTCAAGAATATTCTTGTGGAATTAATATTGTAGATTGTGAGACTTCGTCAAGGGTGTGTGTGGAATTGATTACAGTCTAATGTGACCTGCTTACAGGAAAATGTTTTGCCTGATGATCCTTAAAGATTTTTTCGTAACCTGTCTTACGTTTCTGATTTGTCATGCAGCTTGCTTTAGCGTCCATGTCAGAGGATCAGAGTATATCCCACTTCTTGGTTCTGCCGATAACGGTTACTCCTTACTGGGGGTGACTGACCTTGAATGATGAGTAATATCTGCATCACCTTAAGGGTCATTTCCTCTATTTTTAGTTTGTACCACCATTTAATTTACCTATGTTTTGCTGCAGTTCTTCTTATCTGGAAAAAAGGAGGAAAGCTCTCTGGTTTTATCAATCAGAAAGCCAGACGCCTTGTGCACCCACTTGGGCGCCCAGCAGACGATACATTTTGGAACACTTCAATGAGGGTAACTTGGTGCCTCGATCTGCAGGTTGGAAAAAATTATCAAGCTTTTAAGTACATCTTTTATTAGTAATATTTAGTGTTGAAGACAGAACAGTTGGGCTTGAATTGAAATGCCGTGGTTGAAAGTTTTTGAAGTAATTTTTATTGTGGTTTTAGTATGTTTCTTTGAATTTGGTTACAACATCAAATAGTATATACATCTCAAGTTATTAACTTTTGATTGTTGTTTCAATATTATGATGTATAACCTTGTGGACTGTTTCTGATCCGGGCCTAATAATTTCCGAGAAATTTTATTGAAGTACAAATAAGCTTATGTCTGGACTTCACTGCACTTAATGGTCCAAAAATGTGGCACAATCCAAGCAGAAGCATAATTGTGTTTGTGTGTGTGTGTGTGTGTGTGTGTGTGTATAATTCTATGTTGATATTGGATTTTGATGTAATTTGATAGAACTGTATAAGAAGTTTAGCTGGATGTGGAGGAGCGGTTAAGATGCATTGAAGTTTTAGGCAGCTGATCATATTATTGAATGCAAGCCTTCTTTGATTTTATTGTGGTTTCAGTATATTTCTTAGTATTTGGTTACAACATCAAATAGTGTATACATCTGGAATTTATATATACGAGTCTAAAGAAAGTTCCTTAGACCATTTTAAACATTGGTTTGATTTTTTTTCTCTTTTTCTGGGGAGATAGAGGTATATATTGATTTTAATTACTTTGCTAATAAAAATATTGCATGTTGAGTTTAAAAAATGCTTTGGGTGTGTCCGATTGCATGAAATTGGAGCTTTGAAATTGGAATTGGTATTGGTAGAATTAAAGAAAATTTTGGTTCAAATTTTTTTAGGCGGTCAATAAAATTGAAAATTAAGTATTAAAAATCCCAAGTACTTGAAATTTTTGGTATTGAATGTATTAATTTGAAAATTTGTTTGATAACGTTTTAATTTTAAGTGCTAAATTCATTAAAGGTGTTTAAATTATATTTTTGCATATTTTTGTTCTTAGTATCAGGTTCTCATAATAATTTTATATTTATAATATAAAAATATTAATAAACAACTTTAATAATGAATATTAATGTCAAATCTAATAATAAATTTAAAATTATGTTTTTTTTGTTTTTGTTTTTTTTTTTTTTTTTTGCCAATATATTTTATCAATGTAATTCACTCTCATTAACATTTAATTAAAAAGAAACAACTAAACCACACACACACACCTCTACTCTTATATATATATATATAAGAGTTTTTCAAAAGAGAACCTATAATGCTCAGGTTTCCAGAAACGAAGAGTAGACATAAAGAAATTGCAAAGAACTTGATTATTTTAAGGGTAGAGTAGTCATTAAAAAATATTTTTAAAATTTAATCATTGCTCCTTTTGTTTCGATGTAAGATGTTATACTTGGATTTTTTTTTTTAATTTTTGTGTTAGACAAAGGTTGATGTCGAGTGCATCGGGGAGGACGTGTGAAGTAACTTGACAAAAATTGACGAGTAAGTTATTATTGTTAGATTTTAATATTTTTTTTCTTTGTAAATACTTTAAGACAATCAAAAATCAAAAAATAAAAAAATATTTTTTGAAAAATATTTTACGAAACAAACAGAGCCAAAGTGTGGAGTTCACATCTATGTGTAAAGTGTGAACTACATGTTCAGAAGACTGTTTGAGCCTTATACCCTTCCATCCCCTCTAACCACTAATCCTTTAACATTCATGGCTTGAAAAAAAGAAAAAGAAAAAAAGAAACCACCATTTCAGACTCTGTGTAGAATTCGAAGCTGGCATCGATCTACAATACACATGTTTGCCTGATTAATCTGGTATACAAAAACAAAGCTCTATATTTGGCGGAGCCATGAATGGGCTAACATGGGCTATAGCCCAGGTCCAATTATAAAAAAATAGTTAGTACTACTAAGCCCATGTACTAATTTTCATTTTCCTATCAGTCATTCAGCCAGTCCAATTTATAATAAAACATTCAGCTCAGCCCAATCCAAACACATTGTTGCAAACCCAAACACATTGTTGAAGTCTCTTTTTCTCAATTGTGAACAATTTGGATGTTCAAACTTATAAACAATTCCTTAAATTGTACGGCAAGCTCAATTTTGTATCAAGTAACAAAGACACTTAAACTTTACTCTTTTGAATACAATTTTAAAGTTAAAAAGTAGTTATGTATGTTTCTAATCTGCTTGAATTTTTTTTTTTTCACCAGTAAATCCTCTGCTTGAAATTTATCTTTAGCCCCCACTTTCAAATCCACTATATATAAATGTTCACATGGAGAACGGATGTACAGCAGATGGGGTACGTCTGGTGCCATCATTCGATGTCGAAAAGTGATCATGTGGATTGGAGGAACATTTTACTTGATTGAATTATGTGGTTGGGAAGAAATTGAATGATGATACACACTTAAAGAAGCCCATAAATAAGATTGATTACTTGTTGCTACTTGTAACGCCCCTAAATTGATACTAAATTCAAAAAAAAAAAAAATTCGGCATGACCTCTTCTAAAAATGGTCCTACCACAATCTGTTCAAATGAAAAAAAATGCGATGGCCTTTCAAGACCTATCCAACCTGTCCCAACACACAATACAAAAGAAATATAATATATTCCCCAATACCACAACATCAACAACCTCCCCAAGTTAGCCCATCATCGTCATCCCATTCAACTTAACCATTTATATAGTCTTGCTTCCCTTCAAAATATCAACAAGAGTTATGATTTATAATACATGACCTTGTCTTGCAAAAATGAATACACGACATTTTAGTTTTGAGACTATACAAAAAAAATGGGCTAAGATACAAAAGATAACAAAATACAACTCCTAATCTTCTTCAAGCTTGCGGGGGATTTTCATCCGCCACTTCTTTCCCATTTCCTGAAAAAAAAGAGTTAAATAAATGGGGTGAGCATATTGCTTAGTAGGTGGCACCTAAGACACACCTCTTGTGTCCCCATGAATTCATACAAAGAATAGAGCAATAAGAATCGGGGTCATACTATGTTGGGAAAGTACAACATCACATCCAAACTCAACATCAACAATACAATACAATGGAATGCAATGCGTGTCAAATGTCGCTCCCCATTTTCAAAATCATTCATCTGTCATTTTCCAAACTGTTATTGTAACCACCTTTGGTACCCCCGCAGCGCCGAGAGAAGGATTGGCTACTGTCCCTAGACCTTTGGTGACTCCGCAGCGTTATCGAGGGGTCCAGATAGCTTAACCACGCTAGGGCAATCTCCCTAGTTCCCTTTAGGCTACATTAACCTACCGGCCCGTTGGTAACTCCGCAGCGACCGGGTTTTCTCAAAATTATTTTTATCAAAAACTTATTTCCCAAAATTCCCTTTTTTTGTTTTCAAAACATTTCCCCTTTTTCCTACATGCCCAATGCCATGGATGTATAATGCACACCCATTTTATACTATGGAAATGGAGGAAACTATCATTACACAATTAACATAGATCCACGCAAATTTCCTGACAATTTATCAATCATCATAGTTATGGAAAATTCACATATCAAGCATGCTCTCCACATAAATTAACAATTACACATATATAGGCATAATTTTCTAATTCAACAATTGTATCACTTTCAAGGTAATTAATTTAAATAAGGCATGCTTTCCACATAACAAATTCTACCAAGTTACAAACACACAAGCATGTAAAATCAACATCTAAACATGTTTATTTCATAAATCCACATATACACATAAGTATGAATCTCACATACAAAATCACATCATTTTAGAGGCAATCAACTTAATTAAACATGTTAATCATCAATTTAATCACAATTAACAAGGAATAACTCACAAGGGAGCAAGAACACATGGATTAGGAACCCCTACCTCTTAGAATGCAAAAACCCTCAAAGTGGGTCTTAAAATTCGAACTCCAAAGGGTGCACGAAATCTGCAATTGCTGGTATGGACATGTAGAGTTCGTCGTGGGCTTCGTTTTGCCTCAAACGGCACCTTAATCCGGCATGAAATGAGAAAGAAATCTTGTTTCAAAGATTGGTTGTCAAGTGGAAGAAAAAAGAGAAGAGAAACTGAGAGAGAAAAGAATTGGATGGGCAGAGAGAAAGAAATGAAGGGAAAATGGTCTCTAGACCATAAATTGGGTAGTGGTGGGTCCCACCACTATACTTTGACTTTTCATTTTTCCATTTGATTTAATTTACTCCACATATGAATACATAGTGCACCACCATGCAAATACTACATAAGTCACATGAAAATAAATGCACCAAAAACAATTGGACTCAACCAAAATCCCAAGCGTAAAAGTGAAATGACCAAAATACCCTTGCGGCAACAAAATCCCAGAAAATTGAAAAAAGGCTGAAAATCGAAAACGTTACAATCTACCCTCCTTAAAGAGATTTCGTCCTCGAAATCTACCCTCCTTAAAGAAGGAGGCCCACAACCACATTCTTTCAGAGAACACCTCACAAAATCCCGAGATTAAGAACTCAACAACTATACTGCCTTTGACACCAGCGCCAACAGGCAATCACACACTGCCGCCAGAAAACCCAATGATCACCACTCCCATGAGGGAACTCATCACTCACAACATCATGCACAAAACCCACTGAATCCTATACTCGACTTAAGACCAACACCGGTTTCCTCTACACTACTACATAATACTTCGGAGCTCGAAGAAGAATAGTCACAGGACCCCGGAACATGATGACATCCTATCACACTCATCCTTCTAAAGGGCAACTCAGACCCCAAATGAGAAACCTCATCCAGTACACAATCAGACTCAAACCCAATCTACACGTCAATGTCCAACCAATACTCGTCATCCAACATACATCTATACTCCTACAAAATTATATAATGACCACCAATCACACTAGCCAATAACTATAATATTGGTCAACGTCAAGATAACTAAATGATGAATTCCTCAACAATTATTCAATCATGAGTCACCAAAACAATAAAATGTACTACTCTGTATTCTGAACACAAGTCCTCAAAATGAGATTCTCTATAATCAATGATTGTACTACTAACTTGTTATCAAACACCCAATATGACCGTCTCATACCTGAAACCTCAAAACCAGAGTCAGTTATCCGTACTATTCTCTAATGGAATCCCATAATCATTTTCTAATTGTATAACACCCAAGTAATATGAACATTTATCCTTAAGTCACTACTAAAATCAATCACCTTTACAATCATCC